TGGGGCACTGGGGGACAAGGATCTGAATCCCTAGCCTTTCACACTCCCTACGGAGGTAACGGGCATGCCCCTCCCGCACTAGCCACTCCTGGCACGGGCGGCAGGAGATCCACTGTGTGCTGCCAGCCCATGCAGGGGAATACTCACCTGGAGGTTCTAGTCGCCCCTGCGGATCTTTTCGTGGGTCCCCTGATTCCACGGCCCCAGCCCGAAAACCCATGCAACCCTGATGGGTTCTCGGGCTGAAACCACAGAACCCAGAGACTCCAACAAGCCAATGAGAGATGTCACACTCACTCACACACACACAGAAAGCCGGTGACAAACAAAGCAGACAACAGACAAGTGGACAGTGAGGTAAACAGACAACCTAACCTGGTCCAGACCTACTCCCCGGTCTCCTCCTGACCGAGCCCTTGGCTACAAGGTCAGCTCCAGAGTTCCAACGGGGCCAGAGGACATCTCCGCCTGGCTCTGACCGGCGACCCCCCAACACGTCCGCCTAGGTCCTGTGCCGGTGTCCTGATCCGGGGTCCTGCAAGGGGATTCCGCGTCCCTTGCCCAACACCACACCCGGCTAGTCCAGGGGTTGATTTTCACACTCCTCCCTCAGCCCTGAATTCTATCCGCTAGTCTGTGGGGAAGGCAAATCCCGGACGAGCCCCCAAATGTTAGGGACCGACCTTCCACAGCCCCACCAGACAGAAAAGCAGAGACATTGAGGATGCAATCACACAAGAGGAGGTTTATTTTTTGGCTAGCCAGGGTCCAAGCCCCAGAGCACCAATGCAGTGGCCACTCTCGCAGGCAAGGACCAGTACTTTGGTACTTTTTATTAATTAAAACAATATCTTATTGATGAAGGGATCAATGAAATAGAACAGGTGTCTAGAAATAGAAAAGGCCTAGAAACACATGTGTGCCTGCAAGAATGCTAGATAAGCAAAGACATAATATTGTTGATCAGTGAGAGGTGACAGAGTATAAGTAATGTTGGGCCAATTGATTATCTATGAGAGTGAAAGGAAGTAGAACCCTACCTCACATCCATGAAAAAATTAATTTCAGTTGGATTAAAGACATATGTTAGAAGGAAACCTTAAAACATTTAGAAGAAAATTTAGTATTAATGTAATAGCATTTGAAGCAGGGGAAGATTTCTCAGACAAGTTGCAAAAAGAACACATCTTAATAAAACATGTTGAATAATGTGTATATATGAAACTTTAAAACTTCTGTACTGAAAAGATACCATAAAAATAAGAAAAATACAAGTCACTATCTAGAACATGTTTGAAATATATATAACCATTGAAGAACTCATACTGAGAACATATAATAAACGAATCACAAATAACAGGCCAAAATAAAGAGTCAAAGCATATGTACAAGCAAATCATAAAAGAGGAATCTTAAATGGTCAATAAAAATTTGGAAAAACTATTAATAGTTAAAATTATGAAAAAAGAAAATTCCCTTCAAAAAGCAAAAAGGGCAAATATTTAGAAATAAACTTATTTATTATAATTAAGCAGTTCTTAATAAAACTATGCAAATTTAACATATGATTTATAGAATTAGAAATAGCAATGGCTATATGTCAAATGCAATGAATTGCTATAACTTGAATAGATGCAAAATAAACACTACAATCAATTATTATCTTGCCTACTGAATGGGGGAAAATATAGAGGTATACCCACTGTTGGTGAGGTTTTAGTGATTCAAACACTCACATGTCTCTTAAAAATGCAAAAATCCATTAAAATATTCTGGAAAAATGAAGCCGAAAATGTATCAATGTCTAAAAATTTAATATCTGTAGACCCAGAAATTCTATTTCTACTACTTTATTTTAAAAGAAGTAAAATAAAATTTCTGTCAAGGCAAAATGTCTCCCACAATACTAATAATGATTACAAAATGAGAAAATATAATAAATGGGGAAAAATAAAACAATCAATCTATACAATGAACGAATGTGAGGGGATTTTGAAAAAGTTTATGGAAAATTGAAGTAAAAGATAAAAATAAAGAAAAATTCTATTCGTCAACATAAGCTCTGTCAAGTTCAAGAGACTTTTGTAAGTAACAATAGGGTCTAGAGAATTTACCATGTAAACACAGTCTTTTTTACATTATTAATTGAAGAAAAATGGTTGCTCTTTAGAGACTTTAAGAGATTAGGAAACAAAAGAAGTCCGATCAAGCCATACTGGAACTTTAAGGTATATCCTAATGATTTCTCATTGAAAAGCCCACAAAATTGCCCTTGTTTGATGAGAAGAATGAGCAGGAGCATCATGGTGGAAAAGAACTCTCTGGTAAAGCTTTCCCAGGCATTTTCTGCTAAAGTTTTGGCTGACTTTCTCAAAATACTCTCATAATAAGCAGATGTTAACATTCTTTGGCTCTCCAGAAAGTCAGCAAGCAAAATGCCTTGAGCATCCCAAAGAAATGTTGTCATGAACTTTATTCTTTTTGTTTTGACTGGACCACTCCCACTCTTGGTAGCCATTACTTTGATTGTGCTTTCTCTTTAGGATCATACTGGTAAAGCCATGTTTTATCTCTTGTTGTAATTCTTCAAAGAAGTGCTTCAGGATCTTGGTCCCACTATCTGAAATTTCCATTGAAAGCTTTGCTCTTTTTTTTTTAATTTTTTTTTTATATTTTTGGACATATCAGATATTAAATTGATAAGAACTGATACTACACTTGATCTTAGCCAAACAAAGCTCCGCTCTTGTCGGCCCTATCTGGCTGCAACAGTTTTGGCACTCATCAAGCAGAAAGTTTGCTCAGCTTTAACTTTCTAGAAACAATTGTGTAAGCTGAACCAATTGAGATGTCTGTGATGTTGGCCATTGTTTCTGATGTTAATCATCGGTCCTCTTCAATTACGGAAGCAGCAGATCATTGTTTTCCTCTCAAACCATGGAGGATGGTCTGCTGCTGTGCACTTCATCTTCAACATCATCTCATCCCTTCTCAATATGAGTTATCCCTTTGTAAACTGTTGATTTCTCTGGGACATTGTCCCCATAAACTTTTTGTAAAACACCAGTGGTTTCACTATTTCCCTCCACCCTCCAAGCTTCACCGTAAATTTTATTCATTCTTGTTATATTTATTTATTTCAAGAAAATATGAGAGTACAAACATTTTGGTTGCATTTTATATCTTTGCCTCTCCCTAGCAAGGGTTAGAGGTATGCCCTTACCCTCTACAATGCTGGCTGCATCCCTCAGATTAATTTTAGCAGAATTCATGCTGCTCTGATAGGGACTCTTTCAAACTGATGTGTTATGTTTCTAGTGCCTCAAATCAGATCCTGTTCAGACATGCTATAGCAAGTTAATATGAGTTTATTTTGGTGAAAAAAAAAATCAAACCCAGGCATAGTTTTTTCATAATAGGCATTTTATATAGACTTTTTGAGGACTCCTTATACTAGGTATCAAAATATTTAATTTAATGTCATACAAAATCAGGATGCAAAATTGAATTATAATTCTATGTAAGAAAAAATATTAGAAACCTAAAAACAAATGTTTATTTCTGAATAGTGCACTTAATAAGTTTTGTAATTTTTTATATTCTTCTAATTTTACCACTAAGCATGGGGTTACACTATCATAAAAAAAATTATCTATATTCAGGAAATTCACATTCTAATCTGATACTGACTAATCCTGATACTAATACTTTCTATGATTCTATATACATATTTTTATATATATACACAATCTATATTTCTATCTACTAGTGATTATAATATATATTTACAAATATGCATTTTTTTGCTTTCAATTTTTTAATTCTTAGTTTGTTAATTTTGTTTTTCCTAGAAAGGGAGCCATATTCTCCTTTCTGGAAGGATTGAGATCTTTTTGATGCCTGTCCAGATAAAATTGCACTTCAAAATTGTTTTGTACACTCTAAATTTTAAAACAATCATGAACAACAAAAAAGGATGCTTCTTTACAAAAATATTTCACTTGGTAGGCAAAGTTCTCCATCTTCCATTTATTGTTTGTTTGCTTTTGAAGCAGGGTCTTGCTTTGTTGCCCAGGGCTAGAGTGTAGTGGCATCATCATAGCTAGCTGCAGCCTCACACTCCTGGGCTCAAGCAATCCTCCTGCCTCAGCCTCCTGAGTATCTTGGACTGCAGGTGTATGCTACTACTCCTGGCTAATCTTTGTGTTTTTTTGTAGAGACAGGGTCTCACCACGTGGCTCAGGCTGTCCATTTTCTATTTCTGACATTACTAGGAGCACTAGAAAAGGTATAAATGTGTCTGTGGTGGGGGGGGTTGAATAATTTCCTCAGGCCACCTATGTAAACATGAATAGACACAAACATGAGTAGAACCTAAACAATTAATTCATTAGTTTACTGAAAATTTACAATATGTAAGCTCCTGTCAGAGAGGCCTGGAGGGTACAGAAATGTGGAATATTTTCATCCTTGCCCCTAAGAAATGGAGAGATTAATGAAAATAACACATAATTGTGATATGCATCAGTATCATTTGACATAGCAATTAAGGCAAAAAATTATAAACAGTAGATGTCAATGACAGTAATTAGCATTACTTTTTACACAAACATACAATTTACAGCTTAAAAAACAAACCCTTGCTAATATAAATCAGTATCAGTATTCACTACTTTTTTTTTTCAAACACTATCTCCATACAGAGTAATTCTCTCATTATTTTCATGTACATCTACATGTCAATGCCTCATTTATATGAACAAAGGCCCTGGATCTCAGACCTCAACAGCCACAAGCCCTCTGGGCGCACCTTACAACCATGGGCTATAGGGAAGAATCCCCGAAATTCTCTGGTGAACTTCTGTTTGACTGGAATGATCTCAGGAAACGTATTCATCTTCCTCTGTTTATTATGCCTACGGTACCTTGGAATCTGTGGCATTGATGTCACAAAGCTGATGATATTTGTGCTGATGGTGTAATCTCTCCTCACAGACAGATCAGAAGAAGGAATGGGCAAGGAATAGACAAAATTTAGAAAAGTGTGATTGATATATGCAAATTTTGTGGCACAGTAAGCATGAGAATAAGTCACGGTCAACTAAAAAGTGCTGAAAGACAGGTAAGGAGCAGGGAAGAAATATATAGGAAAAATTTAAGAACTGGCATAAAGTAGAGGTTCTAAAACTTTAGTGTCCTTAATAATCACCCAAGTATCCTATTAAAATTCAGATTCCTGAGCTCCTACCCAGCAAATATGCCCCTTGCAAGGGCTCCTGGCACTCCAATGCAGTCAGCAATGTCTTTGGGGAGCATCAGTCAAGAGATAGATGATGGCAGGCTGACCTCTGACCTCTAACCCATCATAGGGTGGGAGTGGGAGTGGGCCACCTCAGTTTTCAGGCCTGCAATAGGAAGCCACTATGCTCTCAACTCACATTAACTTGCCTTTAATAGCTCACAAGAACAGTCAGTCTTTAAGTGGTTAGAGCCAGCTTGGCTTGGTTTGTCTTCTGCAGGAAGAAATTGGGAATAGACAAAATTTAGAAAAGTGTGATTGATATCTGCAAATTGATATCTCACCTGGAGAAGAGTGAGCATGGGCAATATTTCTTATTTCTTTTCTACTTATTCTCACCCACTGCACAAAAGAAGTTTTAGAAATGTATCCTAGACTGTATTTATATATTCAAAATATTGATTTATGATTTTAAGGTTAAAATCAATTCCCTCCAATTCACTCCATGGCCTGCTGAGGCATGGAGTTCCATTAAGAAGGAAATAGATTTTAATTCTACTTTCCATTTCTATAATTAAGGTTAAAAAGTTTAAAATGCAAATACCTAGAGAAGGGATTTACACTCAAAAGTTATTTAACGTCTGTGTGATCCCTATGTCCTGTTCACAGGAACTATTATGAAAGGGAGGCTCTATCCTTGAAGGAAGGATCGAGGTCAGTCCAAAGAAAAAAGAAAGCAGTCAGAGACTGGTGGACACTGAAGAAAAGAAATGTTTCGTAAATTTTTCTTAAGGCAGCACAAGAAAGGTGCTACTGCACTGAGAAAGTAAAAGGAGCTGCTTTGGGGTTGAACCATGGGAGGAACTATAGAGGGCTTTTTTCCCCCAGAGTATGAAAGGAAACCTCAGGGGAGTCTGTAATCATAAATGCCCAAGATCCTGGAGCAGTTTGGTCCTAGTTAAGGTCCAATAGACAAGCTAATAGAAAGCCTGCAAGCCTGAAATGCAAGAAGAAGCCAGAAACACCCTTCCCGAGCAACAGGTTTGCTGAATATTAGAGTAGCACTCAAACAAGTCAACCCCTTCGAAGTTCCCAACTATCAATCAGTGGAAGAAGGGAAGGTAAATTCACAAGATATTTGAGAATAACTCCACAACTTATATTAAGATCCATTTTAATGTTTAAGTTTAGCTGGCCAGTTTGCAGAAGTGATTTTTAAAAATACAGTCTTCTTTATATTGTTATATCTGTTGTTATAATTTTTATTCTCACTTGGAGGATAATGCTGTATTTCCTGGATTTCAAAACACAATTTTATAATGCATCACCAGTTTTATAACAGGTTTTAGGAAGTGTGGAGCAAGAAAAATAATAGGCTATTATAGGAAATGTACATAGATGCATGTATGTACCAAAAATATTCAGTGCATTTAAGAGAAGTTACATATTTCTCCCTACCAGCCTGGGTTGTATAAGCTTCCCTCTCTCTGTCATCCAGGCTCAGCTGTGCAGTTACACAAAGCCCCAGAGGTCACATGATGATGTGATGGCACCCGCCAGAACTGCAGGAAGTCAGGCTAGGAGATATTCAGTGGGTATTTTTGTGTCAGCCTTGCATTTCCAAACCTATTAAACAATAGCAGCCTTCAGTGATGCCTATGCAGAGCCCATTAGGAAAATCCCATAGAGAGGAAAAATATCCCTGTGGATTCTTAAACTTAAAAATAGAGGTATTTCAAAATAAGCTATTTAGGAAGTATGTTCATTCTCTATTCATAGTCCTGTCTAGAAACTCCAGCGATTCAAGAATTTTTTTATTTTTTTGTTTCTTGAACATAGGAGAATAATCTGAGTTTTCCAAGGTAAGAAGGGGTTCCTTGCAAGGCCTGCTTCTGCCAACACAAAAATACCTGCCCATGTACAGATGAAATGAAGCTCAGCCAGCAATGTCTGGGTTTGTCGCATGGGAAAGCACACCTATGTTCTGCGATTAATTGGGAAACTGAAACATTTTGTTAAAGCTTTACCATTAATCTTTAAGAAGTGTAGGGATTTTGCTTCCTGTAGTTAGACCATGATGTCTTTTTTTTCATCCCCCAATTCTACATGTTGTGATGATCAAAATGGTGCAGTTCCTTAGGCATGGGGCAGAATGACGCCTTTCATCTAACACTGTGGAGCTCAGACCAGCTCTGAGCTTGGCATTCTGAGGTCAGGTATTTCCAGAGGGACTAGCTAGCTGACTTTACTCTTAAGGGTCATTTTATATTGTAAATTAGCTAAGAAAAATGTTCCATCTATTCCTTTGGCTTTATATTTCACTACTGGGTGCAAAAGTTTTAAATAATCAAATTCATCTGTAAATACACACTAAAATGACTCCTATGTTGAAAAATATGAGTTTACAGAATAAAGTAAACTTATAAGATGCCTTAAGAAGTTAACCTGCAACACTTGTGTTTGCAACTTTTTCCAATATTACCTCTTCTATAATGTCTCTGAGTTATTTGCGGTTCTGCTGAAAGGCTGGGGAGTAGACATAATATTTGCTTCATGTCTTTGTTCCTTTAATATGCATTACTCTGTCACCCTTGTTCGGATTTTGGACACCTGGATAGGCCACAAAAAGTAATACAGACCTTATGACAATAATGAATAGTGGAAATCTGTGCAGGCTGGGCTGAAAGCCAATCCAGAGGCTCCAGAGCTTCTCTTCTGTCTGTGATGTGCTGGAAAGAGGACTCCTTGGCTAACCTGGAGCAGCATTAACATCCGATGCAGACCTTTATCATGGGTGAGGTTAGGCAGCTCTCTCTTAATAGAGGAGGAGTTTACTGGGCAAGGACCCTGCGTAGACAGGGTGATTTCCTCTGTGAGAAACACCAACTTCCCTCATGAATGTGTCAGAAAGCAGAGGTCTCATGAGGAAGTCAGATATAAGATTTCTTTCTAGGACCAAGAATGAGGAGGGCAAATTATCAGACCAAGGATCTCTTTGTTTTGTCACTACCGATTGCATGCATGCGCGCGCACACACAGACACATGTATGCCCACTAACGCGCTCCTGAGGATGGCACTGCCCAGCTGAAGAGCCTATGGCCACTTAGCTAGTCAGCAGTTAGCACCATACCCATGAGCTTCTTCAGACGGCAAATGCTAGCTTGGTCTCTTGCTCCTTGGCTTTAGTTCTTAATTACAGTCTATAACCTTGTTTTATTTTATTGAATAGTTCTTCATCTACTTAATGATTCATTTATTCATTCAATAATGATTCATTGAGAAACTATTATTTGACAGAAAGGCTGCTCGTTGATGAGCATACAATTATACTGCTTTCAAGAAGGGAAATATAATACTAGTATATATTATGAAGCAGAAAATATCAAGTGACTTATGAGAAGTAGAGTGATGTTGCTGTGGAAATTCTGAGAATGAGGAAGAGGGAAGGTCACTGTGGTATATGTATTATTAGAACAAAGAATGGATGGAAAGGGGCGGGATACAGTGGCTCACGCCTGTAATCCTAATACTCTGGGAGGCCAAGGCGGGATACTTGCTTGAGGCCAAGAGTTCAAGACCAGTTTAAGCAAGAGCGAGACCCTGTCTCTGCTGTCTGCAAAAAAATAGAAAAATTAGCTGGGCATGGTGCAAGCACCTATAGCCCCAGCTATTCGGAAGGCTGAGGCAGGAGAATTTCTTGAACCCAGGAGTTTGATGCTGCAGTGAGCTATCATGATGCCACTGCACTCTAGCCTGGGGAACAAAAAAAAAAAAGAGAAAGAAAAAGAGAAAGGGAAGGAAAGGAACGGAAAGGAAGGGGAAGGAAGGGGAAGGAAGGGAAAGGAAGGGAAAGGAAGGAAAGGAAGGGAAAGGAAGGGAAAGGAAAGGAAAGAAAAGAAAAAGAAAGAAAAGAAAAGAAAAGGAAAGGAAAAAAGAAAAGAAAAGAAAAGAAAAAAGAAAAAATAACGGGAAGGAGATATGTTGTTAGATTCTCAACAAGTCTGAAGATCTACTATACTTAGGGCATGGTTCACGCAAATATATATTCATATGAAATATGGGTCATTTAGAAGGGAAATAATGATAAAAGGGAAATAACCACAGACAAAAAAGTTATAGTTGTTTTATAGTGGTCTTGGTCTGGCAGGCTGAAAAATGTAGACTGAATACTAAAGAAATCAAACAAAAATATTAGTAACTATATTGCATTTTGGGAAAATTAACATAGGTTAATGCACACAAAGATATTTATTAAATGTATATTTTTTGAAAACTTGATTTTCTGTCTCATTTAGGAGGCTAACATTGAGTAATCATAGTCTATGGGCTATCATAATAGTCATTCCTGTATCCTTAACATCAACCCGATTGACAAGCTCCTCATCAGTCCAGGCACTTCACATTGAATAGTCTGTCAACATGGCTCATAGTAAGTATCTTTAAATTTATTTATTTATGCTTTTTTCCCAACAAGTTCTTGTTGAGTATTTTCTAGGTGTGAAATACCACTTGAGCTTGGGGAACTCAGTGATAAGAAAGAGACAGAAAAGTCTCTTCTCTAAAGGAATATTTTCAATTTAAAAAACACCATCTAATTGATACACTAATTGATATAAACACATTATAATTTCAGACAGTATTATAAGAGATATAACAGGATAAAGATGTTTATAAGCACTATTTTGAATGGGAGGGTGCTATGGAAGTCTTCTCCGAATGAATTAAATTTGAGGAGGTCTCTGAATCAAGTAAAAGATACAGTCATGTAATGATTTGGAGGCGGGGTGGAGATTTCATACAGAGGACTAGCAAATGCAAGGGTGATCATATAGGGCTTTGCAGGCCATAATTTTAGGAGTTTGGATTATAGTCTAAGTGTGAAAGAAAGCTATGAGGGCATCTGTGGGTATTTTACATTGTAAGAAGGCCACTCCCGTTTCTGTGTGCAGAATAAACTGTACCGGGACAAAGGTACAAATAGTTAGGAAACCCTTAATGGTAGCTCACAGCAGGGTATAACATTGAAAGAAGTGAAAAGTGTTCTCGTTGTATTCAGGAAATTTCTTGAAGCTTGAACCAGTAAGACTTGCTTATGGGTTTGAATATGGGGCATGAGAGAAAGAGAAACTCCGTGTTTTGTCCTAAGCACCTAGGTGAATGATAGAAGCATTTACTAAAATAGAGGAAGCAAGAGGTGGAATCAACTATCAGGCGGGGTGTGGTTATGAAAAATGTTTTTGAAAAATTAAGTTTCAAGTGAGGAGCCAGGTGTACACCTGAGCTCCAGGGAGAAAAGGCGGGCGCGGAGATGCACATCTGACAGTGAGGGAGAGCACCGGTCTGGGTAGGGCTGCTCAGGGAGAGAGACTAGTGGAGGAAAGGGGAGCAAGGGAAACCTTGAGAAATGCCAGCATCTTCAAGGTCAGAAAGAGAGGGAGGAGGCAAAAAATAAGACAGAGAAAGAATGACCAGTGGGCTAAGACAGACCTGGGTGATGCGGCCCAAAAGCCAGGTAAAGAAAGTGTTACAAGAAAGATCTGCTGTGATCAGTGTTGCTGCGAGGCCAAGGAAGCTGAGAATTCAAAGTTGACTGGTTTTATAATCTAGATATGGTTGGTGACCTTGATAAGAGTTGGAGTGTATTGACAGAGTCACAGGGAATAAAATGGAGTGAGTCAAAAAAGACAATCAGGATGAAGAAGTGAAAACAGTGAGTATAAAGCAGTCTTCTGGGAGTTTTGCTATCAGGCGAGTAAAGCTTTCAGGTGGTCACTGAGGGATGGGTGTGTGTGATCCTTCAGGTGGACTATGTTCTGCATGGGATGGCGTGTTGTGGTGTGCTGTTGGGAATGGCCACAAGCACAGCAGGAAGTGTAAACTTGATGCATGAGAGAGAGGGATGGCTGTAGGAGCAATGGCCTTGAGAAGTTTCAAGGAAATGGGATGCAATGTTCAAGTTGTGGATTTGGCTTTTTGTGCAGTCATCATAACAGGCAGGAAGGCAGAGTGCAAGTTCAGATGGAAGGTAGTTTGGTGGGTCGGGTGGTGGGAAGATGAGGTCCTTCTCTTCCTACTCAATGTTTAATTGAAGAAGGTACTAAAACATTCACTCGGAGAGCCAAGGAAGGAAATGAGCATACATAAATTTAGTCAGGAAAAATGCTCCCAGGCACATAGCAGCCCTCTGTGAAACCCAGATACACAGTTCCTGGAAACAGTGGGAGCAGATGGGACCAGCCTGCCAGGCATCCTCCAGAGAGCAGAGATGTAGGGATACCAGGGCAGCTCTTTTTAAGTAAAGGCGGACGATGAGCCCAAGGCTGATTCACCATCTGCCAACAGGCTCTGCTGTGGCGAACCAGATAGCAGTCTTTCCAGGTCTACAGGAGGCAAGATGCTGTCCCCAGAAAGGGTGCGTGGGCCTGCGGCCTGCACGCAGGGGCCCCTTGAAGGAAGGGCCAAGGTACTGTGTTGTCACCGAAAGCGACCAGGACAGAGACTGAAAAGATTCGAGTTCTAGTTCCTTTTCTTTTCTAAACTTGTGTGTGATTTTGGACAAAACCCAAAAAGCTTTCTGAACTTTTGATGCTCAGCTGTTAAAAAAAAGGGGGGGGGAGGGTTCTGCTACAGCAAATCCTTCCACGAAAACTGCAGGGACGCCTCAGTCTCCCTCAGGGACCAGGGACGTCCTCTTCCCCAGCCAAGAGCGGGCCTCACTCTTTCCTCGCCGGTCAGCCACATGTTTGAGAAAATGGGGTTGCTGGGATCCTAGAGCTGAGCCAGAGCAAAGCGCCAGGACAGCGTGGAGAGGAACCACCACGATTGGGATAATCAGGCTAAAACAACAAAACAAAACAGCCAAGCAGCAGAAACTGCAAGCTTCAGAGGAAGTTTCTTGAAAATAGGTCAATGGTGCGGTGCCCGTGCCCAAAGGAGTCACAACGGAAGACTTCCTCCCCACAGAAGACAAAAGGCGTTCCAAGCACACCAATGCAAACGTCTGAAAAGAGCCTCCACCACATTCACTGGCCATGGCGTGCAGGACCAATTTTAGGAAAAATGGGAAATGTGTGCAAATAAGGAAAGTTCGCATTCATTTTTTTTTCCAGAGCCACCGCTACATTGATACTTTTCAATTGACTTGTCCTATGCATCATGGTTTTTTTTCTGTTGAAAGTTGTCTCAATTATCTAAAGGGGGTGCAAACATGCAGAAAACTGCCCTTTGCAGGTCATCTCAGCTAAAAAATAATTTGGCTTAAGAGTCAACCATATATACAACATTATTTTGTTTATACTTTGTGGTGAGCCAAGATTAATCCTCTACTTACAGCAAGAAGAGGTGCATTTCAGGGGTTCAAAATTCCCAGGTACTTCAAGGCATTGAAAGCTATTATAAAAGAAAGCAAGGACAGACAAAACAGAAAACAGACTTTTTAAGTTTTTCCAGCCAGAATATTGAAGTTTTTCTATGAGACAATATATAGAACTTAATTTTTCTCAACTATTTAGGAATTTTTCCTTTTTTCTTTTAATTTTTTACTCTCTGTTGTAAATTTCTTTTGATGCCAAGTGAAGTGTTGGAAAAGGATCAATAATTTTGAGCTTACAGCATTTTATTGATCTTCTTTTTTCTTTTTTAATTTTTATTTGTCCAAAAGGGGGAAAACATAGGAAATAGGTTAAAGGAGGGAGTCACTGTTTCTTTTTACCGTCCTTTTTTCCTCTCTAAAGTGTAGTTCAAACAAAAATTCTCCTGCCAAAGCAGTTAGTGACGGTGTAAATCAAAGTCTCTCCGTGCCTTACTGGTAAAGGCAGGCATCCTACCTTTGGGTCCAAAGAATAGGCTTTCATTACAGAGGCGACTAGTGCTTTGTTAGCTTCAGAACTCTCTGAGAGGAAAGGGGGTTTCAACTTGGACTCTTTCCTACTTTCTGTACCACTTAATACTAAAACACACACCACATCTTCATGAAGAGGTTAGAATGCAACTCATACCTTTTTAAGGAGAATGGTGTTATCTTTCCTGGAGATATTTAAGAAAAGAATTGCTGAAATAATTTTGATGTAAAGGCCTCAGCATTTATAAAGCTCCTTTTATATACCCAAAGAAGTACCAAAAGTATTTCACTCCTTCTAATCATACCCAAATCCCTGAGGTAGAGACCATCACAACCATGTGACAATGAAATAGACTTCTGTTCTCCTTTCCCCACTTCTATCTAGTTATCTTCAATGTCTGCTTTTGCTTCAGAAGTGCTCGCGAGGTTTGCTTTAGAAACAGGCAGACTAGTAGTAATGGCTGGAAGCCCAAGTGCCATGTTTTCCTGATAGAAAGCACTGGGAAGTAGGGCTGTCCTGTTGGTGGGAAGCCACCAATCTATACTTGGATTCTTCCCACCTGGCTCTGAGCTGCTGCTTCAACCAAATATGAGTGATTACTGATCACCATAGTTGCAGTTTCTGGCACTACCAGTCTTCAGAAGTTCTCTCTATCTGTTCGAAGAGGTAGTGGTTTATTCCATTTCATAAGTCCAATATTTCTTTGAGGATTATAATGGGACATCTAACAAGAGCTAAAATAAAGTGCAAGTATAGAAAAATATTTACATACAAAGATACAAAGGATACAGTTTGAAAAGAGACAAACCCCACTAGATGTTGGTTTCAGAACTGGTCTGGAAGCCAAATAGATATTCTGTGGTTGTTTGAGGACATGTCTTGTCGGCACTGGTTGGAAGGTGAGTGAGCACCTCAAATACACGTCTTTGGCCTGTCTCCATGCAGCCTCGTTGGACCACCTGACCTTCACCTCCTAGAGATGAAAAGAAACTTTCCTTAGAGTCCTGAGACTTAGTTAAATCCAGATCATACCACGTTGACGCTATTTCATTTATTTTTTGTCCCTGTTCTAGAGTATGCTATGGGAGTCCTTTTTTTGTTTGGTTGGGGAAAACAGGGTCTCACTCTGCTGTTGCCCAGCTACAGTACAGTGGTGTCATCATAGTTCACTGCAATGTCAAATTTCTGGGCTCCAGTGATCCTCTTGCCTAAGCCTCCCATGTACTCTGCTAATTTTCTTTTATGTTTTTGTAGAGATGGGCTCTTGCTTTGTTGCCCAAACTGGTCTTGAACTTCTGGGCTCAAGATCTCTCCTGCTTCTGCCTCCCAAAGTGCTGGGATTACAGGTGTGAATCACTGCACCGGCCAGGGAATTCTACCTTCTCTCTAGTCCCGCCCTTCCAGTCACGGTTTCACCAGGGCCTATTTTTGGCTTTTTTAAAAAAACTAGTTGTTTCTTGAGTTTCACCAATAGCTCTACGTCAGTATCTAAAATTAAATTCTCTAATTACTTTGAATCTTTTGATAGTGGTCATAATTTTTAACTACTGGATTTTTCCCTTATAGCCATAGTCAAAGAGAGATGCAC